TTTCCGGAGCCGTCCACTACGGTGTCTCTGATAATCATATGGTGGTTTTGGGACGTTAAACCCCACGTATCAATCAAACGAATTCCATGACCGCCACATCTGAATGGAAAACTCTATGTGCTCAAAACAAAACCTTGAGCGGTAAAAAAAAAATCAGGCGCTTCATATAACTAAATATACTTACTAGATGCACTGAGAATGTTCTGAGCGCGTGCGGTAAATGTGAAAAATTATGTATATTTGACCAAAATAAAACCCCTGAGCAAGGCAGCGAGCAAGTCAGCTGTTTGACATTTGGAAGAACCAGGAAGCAAACACACAAGTTAAAAGTAATCGCAGATGAAAGTTTGAAGGAGCCTGAGATAGTCCGACATTGCAGTCAAAGCTGCTAGGAAATGTAGAAGTGGTGCCATCTCGAGGCGTCCGTCTAAAATGAGGACATGGGAGCTCAGCTGGTTCTGCCACTGGAGTATAATTTGGTTTACTATAATGACTGTAGCCCATGCCACTTAGGATGTGGATTGGATTGAATTAGATCGACCTGAACAGCTGTATTTACTGACTCAACTATTTATCATGTGGATTGAATTAGATCTGATTCAACCAAGATTGCTGTATTTACTGTTGATTTACGTCCCTACCTAATTTGCACACCTCTAAAGCATACTTTTCAGCAAAAGAAAAAGAATAACGATAAACTACTACTCGCGTATTTTGTATACTTTGCCTTGACAATGAGTAACGACAATGTTGCAAGAACAGAGCCGTACCACAAAAATTTCTTTTTTCAATGAGCACATGCATGTTTGCATTTTATGCCTTTGGGCTCTGACACTTGAAGTGCAACAGAAGTCCTCAGACGGCTGCAATGAAAGCTGGAGACAGCGTTTAAAGTGCCGACGTTTGGATATGTGATGGCAAGAAGAAATCTGTCAAGGTGCTGCGCTGCAAAGTTGAGAAAAAGGCTGCGCTGCAAAGTTGAGGACGAAAAACTGGACTGACACAGGGAAAGCGCATCTAACACCTGAAGTTCATTAAAACAAATAGCCAAAAAAGGAGGGTGGAGTAACATACAAGGGAGTGGGCACTGCAAGCAAACCACGCATGCTCCTACTGAAACGCTATCTATGCTGTAATACACATGTTTTTATCAAACTCTTATATTATGTTTATTTTATTTGTCTCTGTAAACATGCCACTTGTCTATCCGTAACATGCACCAAACTACCCAGACATTATAAAGTAAGTTTCAATGATTGTTCTCCTGATTTTATCTTTGCTATCTAATTCCCCGAGCCAAAGTGGTAGTATCCCCGAAGTTAGGTTAACACTTACAATCAAAGCAGTGTTGAGCGAGATTTTCTTCTATTGCACGCCTACTACACAAATTACTGTGTTCCTGGAGCCTTTTAATAAGACACCTACCCGTCTGCCCAATGTAAAATGCCCCACAGCCCAGCCTTTTCCTGCAGTATGTTCCTACTAGCACCCACACAAGCTTTTCTGTCAAGGTGCAACAGCTTCCTTGATTCCACAGATAAATCACGAATGTCGGCACGTAATTGAATGTACTCTGCTGTGGACGCGACGCTGAAAAATAATTGCAGATTTATTTACACAATCTCACGAAACTGAAATGAGAAATTTAGCTGAAGTTACCCAAGTGCTACCCTTGAAATACGAGCTACCAGCATTAGGTGTGTAGCTGAGGAGGTTTGCCGTTGCATCACCAATAGAATAATAATAATAATGATGATAATAATAATAATAATAATAAAGGACATGAGTAGCCTGGCAAGCTTCTGCTGATGGCAGTTCTAGCCTAGGCAAACCAGACAGCCTTCAAGCCGAGTCAAAAACATGGCCTAGACAAACATGCATAAATTTACAGACGGGAGTACTGTTGTGGTTCGAAAGACAGATATGCCATGTGATGTGTAGAAGCAAAAGACATCAAAATAGAAGATGTACCAACATAGAAGCTAAGGAATGCTTTAGCCAATGTGAAGAACAAGTTGCCGAGCAGAAATTTCCTTGGCCTAGTTTATGCCACAGCCTGCCACAATTGCGACAACCAGTACATCGGTGAAACTGCTGACGTCAAGAAAAGAGTTAACACAAATATGAGGCCACGAAACAATGCACGGCCTCAACTGCCCTTGCTGAACACGCGGAATATACAGACCACCAAATAGACTTCTAAAACATGTGTGTTCTGGACAAAGAAAAAAACAACCGCATCTTCCCACGGAGGGGATTCAAGTAAATGCGTCACGGAGTGGTGAGGGTATTGCGTGAATGTTGTGTAATTGGGTAAGGTTTGGGAATGCTTGTTACTTCGTCTTTATTATTTGTATTTATTGAAAGAAGGAGTAGCGTTGCTTTTAACGAGTGATGGGACAGTGTTGGGTTGTGCCCCACTACTGGTTGAAGGTACTGTTGCTTCTATTGCATCTACTCAAGTCAAGCAAAGAGTCAAGTCAAGTGAAAGCCAAGTAAAGACGCCCTTGACTGAATTACGAACGCCCGATCCAGTGCATACATATACGAGGTGGCCAGTGAACGGTTGTGCAGCGTGAGCAGACGTTGCCTGCGTCGGCCTTGCGTGGCGAGAGAGAGAGAGGGGAACGACAGTTGGCACAAGATGTGAGATGCGAGCATGCTCAATAGTGGTGTAGACACCACCGCCGACGCCAGCTTTGAGAGTAGGTGCGACTATAAAGCGCTCCACGTTTAAAAGAAGCTTGAATCATACATTCACCTGGAATTTCAATACAGACTTTACATACGCTGAACAGGAGTGATTGGACACTTCTGACAATATACTCTCGCTGCTTACGTCATGTGTTTAAGCGTACTTAAGTACGCTGTCCCTTTCTTACGGCTTTTATTGTGGACAAGGCTCCCTCCCATATCGGGTGTTGAAACGAAAGTCGGCAAACTTTGTGTTCTATGGGTCGGTGTATCCTTTCGCGTTTACACTATGAAGCAAGTTATGCACTGTCTTTTTAAGCCTTGATAAATAGTAATGCCTATTTATGTGATGTTTGCACAAAACTGCTGTCAGTTTCCATGACTTGGCCAGGTTTTTCAGAAATTCCCCGACATTTCTATGACTTTTCCAGAAGGGTTCAAATTCCCCAATTTTTCCCAGGTCGACAGACACCCTGATGATACCTTCACCTGGAATTTCAATACAGACGACTGTACATACGCTGAACAAGAGTGATGGGACACTTCTGACAATATACTCTCGCTGCTTACGTCACGTGTTTAGGCGTACTTAAGTACGCTGTCCCTTTCTTACGGCCTTTATTGTGGACAAGGCTCCTTCCCATATCGGGTGTTGAACCGAACGTCAGCAAACTTTGTGTTCTATGGGTTGGTGTATCCTTTCGCGTTTACACTATGAAGCAAGTTATGCACTGTCTTTTTAAGCTTTGATAAATAGTAATGCCTATTTATGTGATGTTTGTACAAAACTGCTGTCAGTTTTCATGACCTGGTCAAGTTTTTTAGAAATTCCCCGACTTTTCCATAAGTTTTCCAGACTGGTTCGAATTCCCTGACTTTTTCAGGTTTTCCAGATTGGTAGACACCCTGTATGAGGTGTGAGCAAGCTGGTAAAACTCCAAACAAAGTTTCAGATATAATCAGTTTACAGTGGACAAGAGTTGAGACATTTGTGCTTCTTTGGCCAGAGTTATGTCACATCGATGTGCAATATGTCAGTTCTTTTTCGCATTGATCTCTTATGATTTTAATTGCTGTGTCAGTAACCCCCCGGTTATTGTCGTGACAAATAAACATTGCCGAGCCCATGCAGACACAACCACCCGGTTCGATTCAAACTTCGGTTTGCTATTTGCCCACTGCACTAGCAACAACAAATAAATGGTGAAATGAGCCATCGCTTTGTGCCATCTCATGCTGAAGACAGAGCATCAGGTAGATTTTGCAGTTACTTGCAAGTTAAGCTGTTTGTTTAGCCCCATCTGCTAAGCATAATGCACCGAAAATTTGGCAATGTTTTTTGGAATTATCCCAATATAGACATGAATACATTGCTGTCGAAGCATCAACCTACAGGAAGTACAAGTCAGTTGGAAACTTACAGGCCAAACAGCGCATGATGACAACTTTATAAATTTTAAGCAGGGGGCACCAGCTGTGATAACTGCAGCCCGCCCTTTTTTTGTTATGCCTCCTGTTTGTTCAGATGGGCAAGAAAGAGAAAGAAATAAACAGAGACACCCAATCAACACAATCGATACTTTGCCAATACTCGTAAATTAAGTTTATGATTAGGTGAACACTTCATGCAATGGTGTGTGCATGCACTTGTGATTAGCCAGGCCAGAACCAGCCAAGTGCTGACCAGCTCTGCTGTGTCCCAGCCTTGCAAGACTCATAACAAGGTGCCCAAATTTTAACCATCACACAATACATAAACAGCTACTTTCCTTGTCAGCCAAGTGTATATTCACATAATTTTTCACTGTGTTAAGATATTTTTGAGCTTAATGCTATGCTGAAAATAAAAATCAACAAGCTCCAAGTTTCCTTGATGTAAAACTGTGTTTGGCCATTACAAAAATTAACGTCTATATTAAAAAATGTACCTTAACTTGAACCCACAACTTGACTTGGACACATTTATCTTGAGACTTAAACATTCTTAACTTAGCATGCCCAAGAGAATCGGTTTTCTTTAGTGCACTATGCCACACGTTGTTTCACATTAGACATGACCTAGTGAAGTCGTGACTACTTTTTCAGAGCCAAAAGAAATTTCACTGGTTGCCTAATCTTGGCAGCTTCGTTGTAGAAAAGCTCCACTCACTATCAAGAGCACACTACACTAACAATGATGTTGATGCCAGCTTTTTTAAATGTCATTTACCTCCACCACACACATAAAAAAAGACTTGCGAACAGGCTCGAACTGTTTTTAGCAAGCTAAGCTGGTCGTCTCAGCAATAATCAATTAAAGTCCTCACCAGTCAACGGGTCTGTTCTGACGGCTGACATGATCCCTGCGCACCAAAAAAGGTCGTACACGTACACCCTCAGGCATCTTGGCTGGCAGCAGGACTCCTGAGATTCCTTCCCCACGCTCCAGCTCAATAGGGCATCCAGAGGCATTCATGCCAACAACTCCTCCAGCAGCTCCAAACAGCAGGAAACAATCGGGAGGTAGGAAACTTGCCAAACGTTCCGCCACTGCATTATATTAGGCTTGATAAACATACATATCGCAAATTCTCATTATCTACCAATAAAAAAAAAACTTACAGGCTTGATGAAAAATTAAGGCATTGAGAGATAGTCAAGTAATAAACTATTAAACATGATGTAAACATCACAGTTTTATAAGAACTGTATATTGCAGTAAACAATTTCCTTTTAACCAAACACACATGGCATGAAACACCAAAGTATCAACAAGTACAGTCCACTCAGTGGCTGCAAGCGCTTGCGGTCACAGCATTATCCTGATGAGTAGAGACCGGATTTATAGGCACCAAGAAATCGGGTTTTAGGCACCAACACTAGGCAGGCAAAACGCAGTTTAGGCCCCCAAAATTGTAAATATAAGCACAGTAAATTTTAACAAAAATTGAAATTTTCAAAGGAATACCTGCGTGACCTGCGTATACAACATGAAAGCAAAAAGAACTGCTTTAGTTTATAATGGTACAAAGGCACTGAAAATTTAACATAGCTGTGCAATTTTTCCCGCAAGGTTCGCAAAACGAGGTCCCTCCTTTTATTGTCCAGCATGGTGAGTTAAGTGTATACCGTCAAATAAGCACGCTCGTGGGTCTTTTTCTTTTTGGGAAGGCTGAGAAGGGCCACACAGGAGCAAGTAGTCAGATGACTAATAGGCCAGAAGGGTATCTTAGCCTCGTATTACGTAGGTCTGATTGAACACCTTAAAGGGCCCCTCGCCAGGTTTGGGCATTTCGAGCGGGCAAGAGGGCACTCCTGCCCTCTTCTTCCAAAATTTGCAATGATATGTGCCCCATAAAGAGACGAAGTGTGAGACTGAGTGGCGCTTGTCCTTCACCTCACGTGCGCACGCCCCAACAGGGTGGAGATGACATACAACAAGGAATGGTCCTGCGTAGTATGTGACAGTGAGAGAATTGTTCACGGCGACAATTCGTGCAATAGAAGTATGAATTTTGATGGAAATATTAAGACATACAAAGGGAATCTGTGTGCCTTTTGTATATCTTTTTACTTTATATCGAGCGAGATGTAATACTCAACACTGAAATTTGGGCGAGATTGTACTTAAACATAGTGGTAATAAGAGCGCATAAGCAGACAACAAACATTAGACAAGAGTTACACAGATAATCACTCACTTCAAACTGAAGTTTATTCACAGAAAAGGCCAGGTTTTATCCTACATCTAACACGAAAACCCAAGCGTGAACCTACAATCTAAAGAAAACAACAAACAGAAAGTCAGCTATCACCTCAAAGTAAAAAAAAACCGTAAAAACCCATCCTGTGCCTCCTATGCACGAGGATCATAAAACAGAAGAACAAACAACTGAGGTCAAAAACAACACAGGTCATGGCAAGCGTGCGAGTGGCGGCCTCTGGTCTGTTCTCAGCATCGAAGACTTACCTAGGTGAGCCACTTCACTGATTAGTAGGTTAACAGATGGCTGGCTTCTGCACATGGAAGCATTTTTGTGGATATGGAAGGCTTCTATTATTTCTCTTGTTATCCTGTTTCGATGCTTGAAAAGAAAAGAAGTATTTCTGAGCTCTGGAATGCACCCACAATCTTGACAGTGCCGTGTGAGGTTTGAATATGGGACAACTAAAGGGAGCAGTGGTGCTTTTAGCCCAATATTCAGGCAGCGGCCAATCTGACCTATGTAGTGTTAGCTGCATGTGAAAGCAATATGATAAACAATGTTGAAAACGCAGGAACCAAAAAGCATACTATAGTTAATGTTGCATGTGGACTGCTTCGGCAATCCTTTGTGAATAAACTTTAGTTTGAAGTGAGCGCTTGTCTGTCTAGCTCTGTCTATAGTTTCTTGTCTGCTTACACGCTCTTATTACCACTGTGTAATACTAAGCTGCCTGCTTTTCGTTAGCGGTGGTGCTCTCGCTGTACTGGCATTGCAGGAGTGCCAGCCCTGACAATGCTTAGCATGTTCTTGGTGCATCCGCCCTCAGAGAAGTGCCAGCAGTCCTTGTGGTAAGGACTGGCCCATGCAAACATAGGTGCAGAGGAATCCGTCCCATAGGAACAGGCAGAACATTACATAGAATGCCGAAACGAGACATCGCTTATGTGAACAACCTGGCTTAGGCATGTCATGCGAATTTAACCTTGCATACGTGTGATGTGTAGATGCATCTGCATCATGTGATCTTTTGGCTTAGGCATGTCATGCGAATTTAACCTTGCATACGTGTGATGTGTAGATGCATCTGCATCATGTGATCTTTTGGCTCCAAGATGCTCCTATACCAATAAGGGTAGGGAAGGAAAACCACGATATGACTATGAGAGATGTCGTAGTGGAAAGCTCCAGAAATTTTGACCACCTGGGATTCTTAAATGCGCACTTCAACAGTCTGTCTATCAATTTGCTTTTTCAAAATTCACCAACTTTTCAGGTTTTCCATGATGATTTAAGGCAAATTTCATGACCGTTACGTCTGCTTGGAAAATTCTGTGCACTGGAAACAGACCATAGAGTGGTGAAAAAAATCAAGCAATCCTATACAATAAGTAAATAAATGTAATAAGTAAATAAATGTCGTAATGTTCTGAACGCGTGCAGTAAATATGAAAAAGATATGTATATCTGGCCAAAATGATACCTCCGAGCCAGTGAGTCAACAAGTTCGCTATTTGACAGAATGGACACAAACTAGTTAAAAGTAACCATAACTGAAAGTTTGAAGGAGCCCACGATAGTCCCACAGAGCAGCCAAAGTTGCTAGGAAATGTAGAAGTGAGACCAGCTCGTGGCATCTGTGTGAAATAACATCGGAACCCGGCCTGTTCCGCCACTGGAGTATATTCTAGTTCACTATAATGATTACAGACCAGGCCATATAGAATGTGGGTTGGATTAGATTAGATTGACTTGTATTTACTGAGTTCACTATTTAAGATGTGAATTAGATTAGATCTGACACCACCTCGTTTGCTGTATTTACTATTGATTTGAATACCCACCTAAATTGTACACGTCTAACATACACTTTTAAGCAAAAAAAATATTAACTATATAGTAGTGTATTCTGTGCACCTTGCATTGACAAAGACTAACAATGTCGCAAGAACAAAGCCACGCTGCACAATTTTCTTTCTTTCTTTTTTTACCGCGAGCACATGCATGTTGATGTTTTATTTCTCTGGACTCTGATGCTTAGAGTTCGACAAAGTCCTCTGATGCTTAGAGTTCGACAAAGTCCTCTGATGCCTGCAATGAAAGCTAGTGGTAGCGTTTAAAGCGATGACATTCAAATGTGTGCTGAAAAGAAGGAATCTGTCTAGCAACAGCTCCCTCGATTCCATAGATTTATCATAGATGCAGACGGGTTACCTTCGTTTGTGTGCTCTTAAGAACATAACACTAAATACTAATCAGAGATTTAATAATACCATCTCAAGAAATTCAACTGAGAAGTTTAGATGAAATTACCCAATTGTAACCTTGAAACGCGAGCTACTACCAGCAATAAGAGCATAGCTCAGGACGTTTGCTGTTTCATCGCCAATAATAACAATGATCATAATAATAATAATATTAAAAGGCATCACATAGCCCTGCAAGACTCTGCTTGCAGGGCTATGAATTGTTACAACCACCAGATTGGTGAGACCACTGATTTCAAGAAAAGAGAAACAACACGAATATGAGATCAAGAAGCAACACGTGACCTCATATGCCCTCGCTGAACACGTGAAATCTACAGGCCGCCAAACTGACTGGTCAAGCGCGCGTGTTCTGGCCAAAAAAAAGCTTGCATCTGCCTGCACCTGGCATACCAGCACATACAGACAACTGCACTTACGCTGAGCAGGATTGATGGGAAGCTTCAAACAATATAGTCCCGGTTTCTACGTGACATACTTCGATGTACTTAAAATGCCTGTGCCTTTCTTATGGCAGTGACGAAAGTGGCATTTCGATTTTTGGAGTGGATTCCGGAGCAGAAAAAAATGCTAGTTTGAACAAACTATCGACGTTATTGGAGCAGATGACAAATATTCCAAACTCCTGCAGTTTAACGTATCATCTAAGTTTGTCATAAATATGAATACTAATCAAACATATTGCACATACAATATTAACTTGAAATAGCACAAAACAAATAATTAAGCAGACGAATAACCAAACACACTAAATAACATGAGCTTCCTATATGTGAAATGCCAATACTTGTGGTAGGCACCATACAAAAGCGATTAAGCTGAGCACCAAATTACAAAAGCAGCTATAGGTACATGAAACTATTGCCAAAGCAGCAGTTTAGAATCGGTATGAGTACTGTACATTATTTTCATATTTCATTAAACAGCCAGTCTTGAAAGTTTCCAAAGTAAAATAAGCTAAATGAGGTTACGTGAAATGTCACTTCTTGTGATATACTAAATGAGCTCAAAGCTGATAACCTAGTAAATATAATCAGTCACACATCAAAGTCGTCACAGCAGCAGTTAGTAATCATTATGATGCTGAACTAATCTCACACACTACTAAAAATAGTCTGCTTGTCAGATATATATATTGTAGGCATTCATTAAGCACATCTACTTTCTTCACACATGTTCATCATCATGAGTGGTCGTCATCTTCATCTGCTGTGGAAACTTGGCTTGCCCGAGTTCTGTGCCTTGGGTGTGGTCACTTCATCGTGTCTTCTGGGCCTAGTAAAGGTTGCCTTCACCGTTGCATCACAAGTAGTGGAGTGTACTCTGCGATTTTCGGTCCTCTCCCAGCCCGCTCTACCTCCTGGAGCTACGCTCATGTCGTCGTCTGTGCCAGGTGTCCAGTAACATGCCTCAGGACGAGCCAACCAGCGCTTCTGCGTCTACCTCCACGGCACCCCAGCTACCGCGGCCTATCCATCGTGGATTATCACTGTGCACCAGCGTGAGCCGCCCACGTTCGCCAGACTTCGAGGTAAAGATGTGGAGGATTGGTTGGACTAGTTCAATCGAGCGAGTTCCA